TATAATTATCATGTAAATGATTTTTTCTCTTTAAAAATGATTTTTTTGAAATTGACACTGCTGTCTCTTAAACAGTTTTAAGTGTCGATAGCCAATTTTTCAGAATAAGAATAATGAGTCATTCCATACTCTATTCAAATTAGACTTTAAAGTCTAATTATTAAATTTGTACAGAAAACCCAAACTTATTCTCCTTTATTTTTCTTTTTCCTTTTTCTTTCTTCTTTTTCCTACTTATTTTCCTTTCTTTTTTTTTCTTTTTCTTTCTTCTTTTTCCTTTTTCTCTCCTCTCTTCCTCCCACGTACACACACACACACTCTCTCTCTATGCCGGCCACCTACCACCGATGAGAGTCGGGTGTCATTTCGCGACACCGCCCACACCATCAGAAAGCTCTCGACAAGCTGGACTCATTGACATGCTGCACGACCTCCATATCCGCCGGAAACAGCTGCAATCGCCGGCGAAATGTCTGAGAACTACCAAAACTTCTCACTATCATAACTTTGTCGTCTGACCTCTAATTAGAGTGATTCCGGTCCCTATGGACTCAGCTCGAAGAGACGAAGAAAACTCATCCTTTTTCACAGTTCGATTCTGGCCGGAGCACCACCGTCCATGGTGGCCGTAGTTCCCGTCACCGCGGCCGCCGTTCACCTCCTTCCCTCAATAGTAAAATAAACAGTATATGCATTGTCGAAATAAAACTTCAAAATCAGTTCTTAGACATTATCATACATTCCATCTATTCTTTGCATACCATCATCATTCATAGGCCATTATCATGTTAGCCTTTCGAGTACATCAGCATATCTTGTAACTTAATGTTGCTAAGCATAATCTCGTAGTCCCATAAACTTTACATTCATTACATAACTCACTTACTCTTATATCCATAAATACTATTTGCTTTATGCACATATTGCAGCGTTTTTAAACCCGTAGTACGCTCATCACTGACTTGTCCACACTCCAGTGCTTCATCATTTCTGCGTGCCCAGCAATAAGTTTCAGGGAGCTAGTGTCTTACCCGAGCTTCCTACAACACAAACAAACTTAATGAGCTTTCGCTCAGCAAGTAACAATAGGCCATAATAAATGCAAACTATAATGCAAATCCATATATGCATCCATGCCATATATCCTAATGTACTCTATACATCTAAAACGTTTATCGTTTTATACTTTTTCATTTCATGCTTTATTTAGCTTTCATTTTTGAGTCGTTCGTATTATATTCTAACGCTCTGAACGACTTTCGTATTCTGATTTCTTTTTCCTTTATCTCATACTTCTTTACGACTTTTGTACTTTCATGTGGAACGGTTGTCGTATTCTAATTTCATGTCTTTTACCTTTTACGGGCCCCATCCTGTTATACCGTTACGCACATCCCAATGAGCTGTGGGGGAGCTACCCAAAATAGCCAGCTCACTCATGGTTTTATAATAACCTCTCCTTGCGGAGGCTGGCACAAACAGATTTAGTTTCTTCTTTTCTTTTATCATATTTTTTTGTACATCTTCTTACTGTCATTTTTTTGTATTATGATAGCAATTTTAGTCTTCTTTTGCATTTTTACGCATTTATATCAATTTCCTATGAAATTGACCTTTTATAAAAGTTTGACTTTTTTGTTGACTTTGACCTTGACTTTGACTTCGACTCAGACTTTTCGCAGTGTAAAATTCTACTGCTACTTAAAATATGTAAGTACATTCATAGCATCATATATAACATTCAAGAAACGCCATTCACATTGTAACATACATTGAATCAACAATATGCACAATTCTGTGTAACACGAAGGAATAAGTTTATTCGTGTCATAGACAAGAAAACTACTGATACTTACAGAAGTTCAACTAACGTTGTGTCATTCGTGTCACTTGAAGCTTTCCGACTTTGATCATTTATCGATCCTATTATATAAATTTTCGATCGTTAGATTCACAATTTAAGACTAGTCACTGTAATAGAATTTGACACTAATTCGTGGTTCCATATATGTTATTTTCTTAAAGTGCGCATACCATGTCTAAAATCCTTGAAGGGATCTACTATTTTCATGTTCAGTATTCGAACCGAAACATCACCTATATCATCAATGTGCACCAAGCCCGTGCACTTTTTACCTTAAATCACATGTTGGGCTTGTCTCATAAATCAAACCGAAACTGATGTCTAGGGTCGTTTTTGAACAAAAAGGCTATTTCACAAAAAATTGTTCGAAACAAAGTTTCCTTCAACTTGGTGTGGTCACTTTTTGAAACTAAGTTTTTATCTTGGTTTTCTAGCCCAAAACAGCACCGGATTCAGTTTCCGGGTCAATAACCTAGTTTTCAGTTTTGCTCCGAAACTGAAAATTTTCATCGTTTTAGGTTTCTATAGATCTCCGATCACCGAATCAACTTACTTTACACATATTAATCCTCCTATTCTTTATGAAACTAGTTCTAGTTCAAATTCTCAAACTAAATTTCGGCAGAGTTTCGCATAATTTTTCGTGTTTCCCAAGCTAACCATAGCTCATTTTATCCATTGTTACAACCTTCAACCGCAAACCACAATCTTTCTCATTCAATTTTTATCATCATAACTCTAGGGTTCTCCATAACCAAAAATCGCTAGAAACATAATATAATAACCAAGAACTCATTCTTTAATCACCAAGTTTTTAATTCCTTTTATCAACCATAAGTTAATCATCATCTTAAGCAAACCTTTTTCATGCTCTCTACTATACTTAAACATGCAGCCATGGTAGAAAAATGAGAAGAAAAATTGAAATCTCACCTTAAATGAAGAACAAGTCTCGAGCACACTAATCCTCGGTAGTTTTATCAATTTTCGCTTATAACTCGCTTTTCCTCACTTTGGTGAATTTCCTCTCTCTTGGCTGAATGCTCTCTGGTTTTTGACATGAAAAATGAGCATTTTGTTGTGTTTTTACCACTTAAAACCGGCCATAATAAAGTAGGGGGGACTATGTGTAAATTTTGACTTTTCTAGGATCTTTTTTGCAAAATTCACTAAAAATATATTTTTCATTTCTTCTTCCTTAAGTTGGCCGGCCACCTTTCTTTCCACATGTCATAATCCCAGCCCTCCATCCAATTAATCACTTTAAATCTCAACCATCTATTTCTAATAACTATCTTATTTCGGTTCAATTTTATTCCTATCTGGTGCACATTTTACCCACGTGTTTCAGACAGTTGGTCAACTTAGTCAACTTTACTCAACCTTGACTATCTTTTCAAGAGTGACTTATTAATCGACTCTTGGTCAATAAATTTTGACTTGGTCAACCCTATTTGGTCGAAAACCTCAATTTTCTCAGTTCGGCCCTTCGTACTCCTTTTTCATTTGTTCTTCGTTTCGATTGTTTCTAAAACCCTAGAATTGATGTTTTTCAATTCTTTTTCATTTCTTAAACTTAACATTCATGTGTTTGCCCACTTGTGAGTTTAACACAACGTTTCATGCCTCTTTCTTAAATACAGTCTGAAAATCGGTTTTTGCATCACACCTCAAAAATTTCTGAGCTTTAGCTTATAATTTGCTATTCCATATTAATATCAACAAATACTTATCATAAAAGTATTCATATTAATAATACAAAAGATTTCAGAAAATTTTATCTTATACACTAATTTTTTTGACAAATTTTTCGATCATGACAGCTTTAGTGTAGTCATATATTCTAATCTGTTAGTGACCTTTTAATAAAATTGCCAAATTTTTTCTTAAAAAGAAAAAAAAAGTGAAGGGCCTTACTTCAAAAAGTAATAATAATGACGACGATCAATATATGCATGTACTAATAACTTTTTCGAATAAGCATCTAAAACTTCTTCTAATTTTATTGAAATGACACATTTTATATTGTATTTTCAAGAAAAGAAATGCTAGTAATACCAACTTTAGTTTTAATTTTGCATCAAAATTAAGTTGTCATCATTTATAGAGTGAACAATTAAAATCAATACAAAATTTATAATTAAAGTGGACATATCTAGCATTGTTCTTTGGGATAAAATCATTTTGGTACACTAGGTTATAGTGAAATATGCTTTTGATACCATATATTTTTTATAATATTAAAGCGGTACTTCAATACTTTTAAAAACACAATTTTAAAACCCTGAAACTGATTTTTGAGTTGTAAAATGATCTTAATATCCCTCCATTTAATTAATTAATAATTATTAGATTTAAAAAAATTATGAGCTTTTTTATTTTGTTGTTTTCTTTTAAATACTTTTAGATTTTTTTTTTAAAAATAATTTTTATTTAATTTATAATAAAGGTAATTTGGACATTGCGGGTGCGTTTAGAATTGGTTTCAAAATCATTTTATTTTCAATAAAAAGTAAAAATGAGATTGTTTTGAGAATAATTCTGCGACCGATTCTGAAATTGCATTGGGTTAGTTTTTTAAGAGATTGTTTTGAGTATAATATAAAAGTAAAATGATGTTGATTAATTAATATATTATAATATTATTGATAAGTATTAAAAATTTAAAACAGAAAAGTAAAAATAATTTTCAACTATTTTTAAAATATTTACTAAACAAACGTCATTTTGTTTGCATTTTCATTTTTTATTTTTTGAAATACGTGAAAACCGTTTTAAAAATCGGTTCCAAACACGACATATATTAAAAATTAGTTTTATGGTGTTGAGAAATTATTTTTAAAAACGTGAAGGTATTATTTTAATATTATAAAAAATATAAAATAATAAAAGTATATTTCATTATAATATAAGGTATTAAAAATGATTTTGTCCTTGTTGTTTAAGACTAATCACCGTCATCGTTTTGCGTTTCAAAATTTCACCGTTAAAAACTTTTTTTTTGTTTTTGGACAAAATTTAGCCAATGTAAAAAGGGCTATTTTTTTTCACACACCTCCCTCTGAACAAGACAAAATTGTATGTAATATTTCAAATAATAATAATAACAGCTATTTTCTAAAGCCGTTTACGCGTTCGCTGAGCAAGCACTTACTCGGAGTAAAAAGCCACTCGTCACTGAAAAAAGACCCAAAATTTCAGATCCAGTTTCTTCAGAAACCCAGAGATCCATATCTGACATTCATTCACACCCCAAACAATGGGGTTTCGTTCTTTCTTCTCTGCATTTTGCCTCCTTCTCATCCTCGCCTTCTTCTCTCCGCTTCTCCATGCCAAAACCCTCAAACGCGACGGTGAGTTTCTTTCCTCAGATCTCGTCCATGGCGTCGTTGTTTCTCTGCTTTCCTCTTGTTTTCTCACTTTCTCTCTCCTCTTTTTTGCGCGTAGTGAAAGCTCTGAACGAGATAAAGGCGTCCCTTGGGTGGCGAGTGGTGTACGCGTGGGTCGGCGACGATCCTTGTGGCGACGGCGATCTCCCGCCTTGGTCCGGCGTCACCTGTTCCACTCAGGGCGATTACCGAGTCGTCACCGAATTGTAATTACGCTTCCGCGGAATCTTGATTGATTCCGTATCTTTTGATTTCTCGAATTTCGTTTGGAGTTTTTTTTGGCCGAATTTGGAAATTGAGTTATTGATCGGATTAGGTATTTATTGCTTTGTTTGCAGGGAAGTTTATGCAGTTTCGATTGTTGGGCCTTTTCCTACTGCTGTTACTAATCTACTGGATCTCTCTAGGCTGTAAGTTATATCCGATCCTCTCGTTCTTTTTTCTCTGGTTTCTTAGTTTACTTGTGAAGTTAGATTGATTTTCACTCATTGTTAAAAGTCAAAAGTGAAATTGATAGTTAGCGTAGTGAATGTTTCTCAGCAATTGTATGATTTAACATTGAATTATATAGGATGATGTTGACAATTTTTACTTTTTCTTATGAAAAATGCTTTTGTCATTATCATTATTACGAACTGTTGATGTTTCTGAACTCCTGTTATTAAAAAATATACGTCAGAATGTAGCTCTAGCTGGAGCGATTTCTTTGACTTTGGGCTTGTAGAATGTGTAGGATGGGTTTTTTTGATAAAATCTAAGTGCAGTGAATCTGTACAGTTGTTTAGTCATTTTGGATAGTTTTTTTTGTTTCAAAATGTTCATAATCTGCCTGACCGTGTGACAGGGATCTCCATAACAACAAGTTGACAGGGCCTATTCCTCCTCAAATTGGACGGTTGAAGCGTCTCAAGATTCTGTATGGCCCTTTGCCCCTTTTCTATTAGTAGTTTGCTTGTGGGGTTACTGTTTGTAAATTTAATCGTTTTACATCCTTGTTGATGTTGTTCTATGGTAGGAAATTATTATAGGCTTGATGCTATATGGTAATCCATTGAGGATACGTATATTCTAGACTCTCACCAGCCCTTGTTATGTACTGGATAGATAAGATAGTTGGACTCTTAAAACCATTAGCTTAGTATCTTGGTCTTCTTTTATTGACTAGTTTTTATTTTTGTGTCAGTAATTTGAGATGGAATAAGCTACAAGATGTGATCCCTCCTGAAATTGGCGAGCTGAGGAGTTTAACACATTTGTGAGTGGTCTAGCTTTTCTAATGCTAATATCAGTTTTTGGGTATCTATATTCTATATAAAGCTATCTCCTTATTGCTAAGAGTTATTTGAATAAAACTCTGCAGATATCTGAGCTTCAATAATTTCAAAGGGGAAATTCCTAAGGAACTTGCTAACCTTCCGGAGCTTCGCTATCTATATCTACATGAAAATCGTTTAACTGGGAGGATTCCACCAGAGCTAGGCACCCTTCAAAAACTTCAACACTTGTAAACTTCCAATCTCTAACACATCTTTTTATACTAAGCATTTGTTCCTGGGTACTGATGTCTATAATCCATATATTCATAGGGATGTTGGTAACAATCACTTGGTGGGCACTATAAGAGAACTTATACGCATTGAGGGTTGTTTTCCGGCTCTTCGCAACCTGTATGTTAATCCAAGCTAATCAGTTCTACTGAACTACTTCATTGAGTTTTTTGCCACTAACTGTTGTGTATATGTTAAGTAATTTATTTGTGATTCTGATGTGCAGTTATTTAAATAACAATTACTTTACGGGTGGAATTCCATCACAGCTCTCAAACTTGACCAACTTGGAAATTTTGTAAGTTGACAATTTTCTTCTGCCTCTCTCAGGGAAAAGGAAAACCTCTTATGGATAAGAAATGTTTTCTTCATAAGCCATATTGCTTTTATATAATTTTCTAGTTTAGTGAATTGATTGCTTTCTGGATACAGCTACCTGTCCCACAACAAGATGTCTGGGATAATACCATCTGAGATTGCTCACATTCCTAAATTGACGTACTTGTAAGTTTCTTTTTCTTCTCGACTGTTTAATGTTTTGGGATTTCTTCCATTTGGATGGTGTTGGTGGGAATCTTTTTCTATAAATAATATTTTTCTATAAATCCAACTGTTTATTTGGATACAGTAGTATCTCCTTATATTTGTCCGTGTATGCATCGGATATCATTTCGAGTGACAAATATTAAGGTTTCCTTTAATTTGGCTTCAGGTACTTGGATCACAACCAGTTTACGGGGAGGATTCCCGATTCCTTCTATAAACACCCATTCTTGAAAGAAATGTGAGTTCCTTTTGACACTTCAAAGTTCAAAAGATTAAGGTTCCTGTCGTTTTTGTGTAGAATTGAGAGATTTATCACTGATTGTTTCTTGTAGGTACATTGAAGGAAATTCATTCCGATCAGGTGTAAACCCAATTGGTGTCCACAAAGTTCTTGAACTCACTGATACGGATTTTCTTGTTTAGTTACGATAATCCATCTATTCTTTGTTTACTTAAAGTTGAGTTTTGCTCCCTTCAAAAGAAGGATTAGAGAGAGAGAGAGAGAAGAGAGTTTAGTAGCCCCCTCTATGAAAGAAATATAATATTTAACTTGTAATTCGCATGTCATAGTATCAATGAACTATTGTTGTAGCTCTGTTATTGATAAATAACTGTATATTAATGGGAATTCGGGAAAATATTAATAGCATGTCCAAAAGGAGCTTTGGTCGTCTTATAAGATTTTGGGGGTTGTTGCTTTGTTTGTGTGCGCTTCATAAATGATCATGATGCCGACCGGTCGGTGGAGTTTTTAAGCACCAAATCAAACAAAATCTGACAGTCTTGAAGTAAGCTCAAAGTTATAGTCATATTCAAAATCGAAGCATCCATATGGGAACTTTCTTCAATGTACTCAATTTCAAAAAAAGCAAAAACAAAATGCTTTATTTGTTTCAAAACAAAGATTGATAGCACTCAAATTGAACAAGAGGCTGTTTAATCCCCTCCTAACTAATATGGCTTGCACTCTGGATAATACAAGTGCTTGTTTATCTTCTCCAAAACCAAATGAATTTCTTTCATCTGCGGATGTATCTTTTCTCCCGCAATGAATTCATGAACTGTAACATCAATTTGAACAGAGCTACATCCTGGTACCTTCTCTATTCCTCTGTTTTTCATCAGATTCCTCACTTTCCCGGCATCGCATCCTTTTCCGGCAGATGCATATAAATTTGAAAGCAAAACATAAAACCCGCTTTCGTGTTCTGACTGAGAGAGATTCTCAGGGGCAAACTCTGCTAGTTGAGACTGCCCATGTTTACAGCAAGCACTGAGAAATGCTCTCCACGCCATCTCTTCTTCAGAGCGGTTACTTGAAGTGGCAAGTCTTTGAATCATTTTACTTGCTTCTTCAAACAATCCCGCTCGGCTAAGAAGGTCAACTATACATCCGTAGTGCTCACTTTTTGGTTCAATTTGGTACACTCTACACATTCTGTCTAACATTCGCATACCTTCATATGCCCTGCCTGAATAACTACAGGCAGTCAAAATGGCTATGAAGGTGATGTCATCCGGTCGCACTCCAGCCTCCTCCATCTCTTCAAATAACTCGAATGCTGTATCTCCATCTCCATGCATTGCCATTGCTGATATCATGGCATTCCAGCAAACAGTATCCTTCTGCGGCATCTTTTCGAAAACCATCCTAGCTAAATCCAAGTTCCCGCATTTCGCATACATGTCTACAAGACCAGTACCCAATCGAACGCTCAACGGCAACCCAAGACGATCCAAGTACCTGTGAATCCAAACCCCAACATCCAGAGCTCCCAAATGAGCACAACCACAAAGAACGCTCACGAATATGGCCTCATCAGGCTCTATTTCCGCACACTGCATCAAACGAAACAAGTAAAGACCTTCCTTGAAACAAGCATTCTGCACATACCCAGATATCATTGCTCCCCATATTCCCCTATCTCTCACTGGAGCTAAATCAAAAAACAGTCTTTCTTTGTCCACCTCACCCACCTTCCCATATCCGGAAATCATAACCATCCATGAAACAGTACTTAGACTAGGCATTTCATCAAACACTTGCCGCGCAGCTTCCATATTACGAAACTCACTATACATGACAATCAAAGAGTTGCCCACAAACAAATCAAACGCAAGCCCAGATTTCAATCCATGCCCATGAACCGATACTCCAAGACAAGCGCTTTGCAGCCTAGAACATGCCTTTAACACATAAGGAAGTGTGTAATTATCAGGGGCAATGTTGCTACTATGTAACATCTCCTTATATATATTTATAGTTTGGATGAGTTCATCATTGAGTAAGAATGCTTTCAAGACTGTATTCCAAATACAAATTGTGGGCTGTTGAATGTTTTGGAAGATTTTCCATGCATGGAAAGGGCTGCCACGATGTGGGTCCGAGCAGAAGGCCAAGAGCCTGCTTAAAGCAAAGGTGTTGGTGCCAAGACCAGTTGTGAGAACCAATGCATGTGATTTCTTCAGGTCCTGCATGTTCTTGCATTTCTCCAAAAGTAGAAGGCATCTCCTAGTGGTGGAATATGCTGACATTCGTAATATAACTTCATTTACCAAGAAAAAATTTCTCCAACAATTATTTCAAAGAGAAAAAAAAATCCAAAAATGAGGGTAGCAATTGGCATGGGCAGCCAAATTCAATTGATGAAGAAAATACGATTGTCTTTTGGGTTGTTATAATTTATGACCTTATAGTTTTTCATTATATATTGTATGTTTTAGTCAATTGTCAGCTGCTCTCGTAGCTCAGTTGGTTAGAGCACCCGTTTAGTAAGCGGGAGGTCTTGAGTTCGACTCTCAACGAGAGCAATTTGTCTTCGTTCTATTTTTATGTTTCACACATCTCTCCTCTTTCTTTTTTTTTTTTTTCCCTTCCAGTAAGACGGTCCATTTGAGATAATGAGATTTTTCACGTACTCCTTTTTCTTTTCGTTTTTTTTAAACAAAAATAATTGAGTTTTTTAACCATTTCATATGTTTTATTTCACAGACAAGGGCTGAAGTTCTTTTGCTGACATCTCTACACACAAAAAGAAAAATATTTCCAAATACACAAGAATTATGCTAAAAACACGAAGAAGGTGATATACTTGAAAGGAATACAATGCTAATATATATATATATATATAGAAAAGCTTGGTCCTCAGAAAAACACAAAGAAGGTGATACATTTTTTACGATTATTTGACCAACTATAGCTATAAGTTTGTCATTTTCTATAACGTTATTTTGCAAAGCAGAGCTATCCTAGGATGGAAATGAAAGTAGTATTGGGTTGTTTCCTTTTAACATTGTTTTCCGTTTCTTCAGCTGAAGTTATAAGAGTTACAATTAAAGGAGAAAACTCCATAGCCATAACAGACGAAAACTTTATATGTGCAACTTTAGATTGGTGGCCGAATGAAAAATGTGACTATAATCAATGCCCATGGGGAAATACTAGCATTCTTGACTTGGTACTACTCTTCTCTCTCTTTCTCTCTCTTCTTTTTAACTTATGATATTCAAGTCTTCGGTTCGATTCCATCTTTTGTAGGATTTGAAAAACAAGATTTTCATGAATGCTATCAAGGGTGAGTCTCTTTTTTCCTTTTTCCCTTTTTTTCCTGTTCTTTTTTTCTGTCTAATGAATTAACGGTAGTAGTTAGTAGTTACAAATAACGTTTGGATGTGATATTGTCATTTTTAAAATCTTCTTGCACTTTTCTAACTTCCACTGATTTTTCAGCCTTCAATCCTATGAGGATAAGAATTGGAGGGTCATTACAAGATTTGGTAGTGTACGATGTTGGTAATGAAAATACAGATTGCCCCCAGTTCAAGCCAGACAAGAGTGGTATGTTTGGATTTAGCAAGGGTTGCCTTCCTAACAACAAATGGGATGAACTCAACGACTTGTTTAACCAAACAGGGTATACTATTATTTGTTTTCTTCTCTTTTTTTTTTTTCTTTTTTGATAGAAACGATATTCACGGACAAATTGAGCACAAGGGTACACTAATTATACACTATGTACACATACTTTTTTTGCCGCCCCAAGTTGTGAAAAACTACAATGAAAATATAACCAAACTTTTTCTTTTTTTTTTTTTTTTTTTTTTTTTTTTTAAAATAAACCACAATTTTTTTTTTTTTTTTTTTTTTTTTTTTTTTTTTTTTTTTTTTGGTGTGTGTGGGGGCGGGCGGGGGCAGAGCATTGGTAACGTTCGGTCTGAACGCACTTCATGGGAAGAGAGCTTCTCAAGTGGGCATTTTATGGGTAGGTGCATGGGACCCTCAAAATGCCCGAGAACTTATGAAGTACACCATTGCAAATGGCTACAAGATTGACTCCTATGAGCTAGGTAAATATGGTTCATCACCTTCAAGTTTATGTGTGGTTTTCAGCACTTGTGTCCCAAAACTTCTCGTGATTTTGGCACTTTTGTCCCCTATTTTTTTTTCCTCGCAATTTAGTTTTTAAACTTTAGTAGCAATTGACCACAATCGGGACTTGAATATTGGACGAAATTGTTACAATGTTTGAGCATATGCACCTTGTGAATTCTAGTACTTTATACCATTTCATCCTTCAAAATTTATTTTTCTCTGGTGATTTAACCTCTGAATTAGCAACAAAATTCCATACAATTAAGATGGGAGTTTATTGCTACTCTAATGAAAATTTAGGGACTAAATTGTTAATAAAAAATTCCGCAGGGAATGAGTTATGTGGGTACGGTGTATCTGCGAAGTTGGATAGTGTACAATATGGGAAGGACATAATTGTGCTAAAGAATCTAGTCAAGGATTTGTACCCGGATTCATCCACAAGGCCCAAAGTCCTAGGCCCGGCTGGATTTTATGAAGAAAAATGGTTCACTACCTTTCTAGAGACCATTGGACCAGAAGTTATAGATGGTGTAACTCACCATATCTACAATCTTGGTTCTGGTATGTAGCCAAATATAATGTTCCTGATTTTTGCCAGCAATTTTAAGGACTCATTTTTCCTTTTGGTCTTTAACAAAAGAAAAACAATGCAGCGTTATGAAAAAGTGTTTCGTGGCATATCTGAAATTAAGATATTAAACCATGTAAAATAGTGATAAAATTGTCATTTTTGGATAAAATTTTGCATTGATGATGCTCAGGATAAAATTTTCTTTCATGAACGTGTGTCATTACTCTAAACAAAAGTGTAATATTCAGGAATTGATCCGAATCTTATCAACAAGATTCAAGACCCGTTTTATCTGGACCTCATTGCTCGAACATACGAAAATGTCTCGAGGTCCGTCCAAAAGCATGCTCCATTGGCGGGAGCTTGGGTTGGGGAAGGAGGTGGAGCTTTCAACAGTGGTGGCAAAAATATTCAAGATAGATTTGTTGGGGGCTTCTGGTTAGAAACTCCACTATAATATACTTTCAAAATTTACATGTAAAGAAATTGGGGATTGACTCATTTTTTGAAGAATTATTCTCACAAGTGTCCTTAAATTTTAGAGTCATTCTTAGCATGCTCCCTAATTTTAAAAACACTTATTTTATGCCCTGAATTTTGAATTCTTCCTATTTAATTCCTTTGGTTGAAATTTCTATTAAAAATAGATAGAAAAAAAAGAGAGCAATGTCGTCATTTGGCTTTCGGTTAGAACATCTGTAAAAAAACATACATATAAAAACCTTATGAAGACGCTTAACTTCTTTTTTTTTATGTCTGATTTTAATAGAAATTCTTACAAAAGCATTTAAGTGAACTAATTCAAAATTCATGGGATAAAGTAGGATTTTTCAAAGTTTATGGAACAAATTGAGAATGACCTTAAAATTCAGGGGCACCGATGAGCTTAACCCTTTCTGGAAAGAAAACAGGTATTTGGATCAACTAGGCATGGCATCCACCTTAAACCACAAGGTATACTGCAGACAAGCCTTCATTGGAGGGAACTATGGCCTGCTCAATACAACCACCTTTGTTCCTAATCCTGACTATTATGGGTTAGAATCTCAAGCTTTATAAAAATTTTGAAGTTAGTCAATTATTCCTTTTAATTCTGTAGTTTCAACTTTGTTCCTAATCCTGACTATTATGGGTTAGAATCTCAAGCTTTATAAAAAATTTTGAAGCTAGTCAATTATTCCTTTTAATTCTGTAGTTTCAACGTTCAAATATCAATTTATATTGATGGTTTGCCAATAGTGCACTTCTATGGCACCGGCTAATGGGAAAGGAAGTATTGAAAACCAGTCACAATGGATCTCCATATTTGCGAGCTTATTCACATTGTTCAAGACAACAACGTGTAAGACTTTGTTTTACGCTTTCAAAGTCTTGGTAGGCATGGTGAAGTACTAAAGTACTGATTCAAAACTGTGTTTTTTCAGCCTGGGGTTACTTTGCTTTTGATCAACTTGTCCAACTCTACCTTCTTCGACGTTGCCATAGCCGAAGATTCTAATGCGCATCGGAAGCTATTTGAAAGTAGATCACAAAGAGAAGAGTACCATTTAACGGCGAAAGACGGCGATATTCAAAGCGATGTGGTGCTACTGAATGGAAGTCCTCTGCAGCTAACAAATTCATCAGATATTATTCCTCAGATGCAGCCTGTTCTTGTTGATTCTTCCTCAGCAATCAGAGTTGCACCCCATTCTTTTGTCTTTGTAGTTCTCAAGGACATAAAGGCTCGTGCATGTGCTTAAATAAAAAATTCTTCACACATTGTTCTAGTTTTGTTTAAACATTTTACCAGTTACTATTAATCAAATTTTTTTGTTTTGTTTTTTAAGATATGCCCTTTATTTACTGTTTCTGAATTGATAAAAGCTTCCCAAATAAGGTTAAATAAATTTGGGCTGGGAAATACAATGCTTTCAAATGGCGAATAAGCAGAATTTTGACAAAGCAACAAAAGAAAGTTGTTCTATCTTATTGCTGTTAACTATAACGGTTGAGGTAATAGATTCCAATTCCAAGATAACTTCTATTAAAAAACAAAAAAAACAAAAAAACATATGCTAGTACATGGAAAGCTGAGCAGAAAGGAAAAGAAGGAATACTTTTCTTCACTAGTAAGGCCTTTTAAGATGCAAATCAGGGCTTACATGCAAAGTATCTTAAAAACTTCCAACCAAACCCTCAATCCCCTAATATTAAGAAGCCTATAATCAACCTTTTAAAGGAACCTCCTTTTATCTATTCAAATAAACATCATCCCACCACATGGGTGTCAAATTTTTCAGAAAGAAATTTCAGACCAGGCTTTGTTCCGGGAATGGATGATTTGTTTAGGCAAACGAGGTGCCTTAGAGTTGTTTATCTCTTGAAAATGCAAGATTTTTTTTTATTTTTTTTTTAACAATGAAACAGAGTATGAATAACCTGCACTTTTTTTTTTTTTTGGGGATCAGATTTTCTGGCACTCGAAAGGAGAAGAAAGAGGAGTCTGGCAGTGGCAGGGATCAAAGTATTCCACCCCCAAAACCTCAACCTTTTAAAGGTAATACACCTCAGTTTTATTTCTGACTAGATATACATATGAGCACCCTTTAGAGAATTGGTACGGCAATGCTTAAAATCAGTAGTTTCTATACATTTTTTTCTTTTATATTATATTTATATTATATGTATATATAAAAAGACTAAGAGTTGAGCAAATATGCCATACAAGAATAAATGAAGCAAGAATTGGAATGGTTTTAACTTGCAGATAAAAAGAAAGAGCAGAACTGGTTTCAAAGAAAATTCTCTAGGCAAATGAGTCGAGATTATGATTCCAGCAATGGAGATGAGCAAGGGATTGCAGTGGCAGCTGCTGCATATGCCATTAGCTCGCTCGAAGAATTCGGAACCCCAGACCAAAAACAGAGAACGAAGGAGCCTGGAACTTCTACCGTCGCAACCAAGAGCAAGAAAGAAGACGGGATAATTTCAATTCCAGACTCCGGTAAAGATTCCAAAAGATTCTCAGGTAAGCTATGCCAAAACATATTCATTGCATTAAAATCCAAAGTTGTAATCATTTCTTTCCTGAACTCGAACTAAGAAGAATGGGAGATGTCCTCCATCAGGTGAAAGTTCAATGAAAAGTTTCGAAAATCAAGATAGCAAGGTGCCAGTAACAGCTGAAAAGGCCTTGCCTCCTGCTGATAAGCCACCGAAAGGCAGTTTTAAGAAATCGAGTGGAAGTTTCAAACTTGGAAGTAAAAAATCGAAGCCTGATTTGCCCACCACTGCTAAACCTGCACCCCCACCAGCTGAAACCAGAAGGCAGAGTTCAACAAGGCCTGGGACAGAAAAATCACAAGCAGATATTTGGGAACAAGCTGAGTTGGCTAGGATCACAGAAAGGTAATCATTTAAAGACTGTTTATTGAAAAAGGTTTAAGTTTTCATTAAGACGCCTTGAAAACCTAACTTTGAGTTTCACAGCAAATAGATTGACAATCAGACATAGAAAGTTCCAGATTGCCCGACAGTGTGATAATGTATTCATAATTTTCAGGTATGAGAAGCAACAATCCACCATACATTCATGGGAGGACAAGAAGAAGAAAAAAGCCAAGCGCCGACTGGATAAACAAGAGGTTTTTTTTTCGTATTTATTTTCTGTTCAAATTCTTGTATTAGAACTCGACTTAGATACTGATGCTCAACTTACTCGAGTTGCAGAGAGAATTGGAGAGCAAAGGGGCCAAAGCCATGCAAAGGTTCCGCAGCAATATTGAACATATTGATCAGACTGCAGGGGGAGCAAGGGCAAAGGCAGAGGAAAAGAAGAGGAATGACGTGTTTAAGGTGAAAGAAAAGGCAAATATAATCAGAAAAACAGGGAAAGTTCCAAAAACATGTTTCTGCTTCTAATTTTACAAATTATATAATCAGGGACAGTTTCAAGCTAAGCAGCAAAATACCTAGTGAATGTAATAATTCTTTTATAACCTTGTACCTAAATGAGATACCACTTGTATGAAAACTTTGCTGCATGATTTACCACTCTTATCAAAAAAATTCGTAAATATGTGCTTTCGCCAAAATTGAAGTCTCACAAAACTTCATGTATAGTGAAGAAACATTTTACACCTGCAATCTCAATAAACGTTCCGCAAGAACAAATACAAATGCAAGTACAAATACAATAGTCTATCTTATTCCTTCACATCCTTCCTGCCTTATTTATTTCCTCCATTGTCCATATCACTGCTACAATTACAAAAGAGAATACATGAAAAATATATATTCCATATGAGAAGTTTCACTTAGGAGCAATGTATAGATGACATGCACCGACGCCACCAATTTAATAAGGGAAACTGAAGTTCAAAGGGCTGCATGTACCCCAACAATGACTATTAGAAGGTTACAATCACAGAATTTAAGAAAAACACTAAATGACTCCCAAAAAATCCCTAAGAGTTTTCTGCAAAATCACCAACAAAAATATTATCGTAACCAAAACCAATTGAGCAATATAAAGTGCTCTCTCAGGTTCATACAATAAGTTCTCAAAAGTGCGAGTGATTACTCACAGAAAAATGCCTCAGAGTCTCTTGAAACTTCCATTCTGTGATAAATACCATATAACAGCTTACAAGCTTTCATGCATCAAAATGACATATGGGGACGAGTTCTAAACAATGTAGCAAGAACGAGAAAAGGCATAAGCACTGATTTCCATGATTTTCTGACGTGATAAAAATATCAGGTCTCATGAGATTATTTCTCTCACCAGCCTCTGTAAAGTAGGGTATGCAAAGTACAATACCGAGAAAGACGGAATTGCAAAAAGAACAGTGAGTATAAAGTAGATGGTCAAGATGACAGCACTTCCAGGTATAACAAAGAAGACAATCAAAAGAAGTATGATGACTAATGGGAACTTGGACGTGAAGTGAATAACGAAATCAAGAGATCTGTAAAGGGAAAAATAGTGCCAATCGACGTGGCTGCCACCATCATCACCGTTATCTCTTGACGGTCCAGTATAACCAGAAAATGAGGCCCTCCTGTGGTTACCGCTACAACCTGCATTTCCGACGGCTAAATTTCTGTTTTGATGCAAAACCTGTTGATTTTCCCCACCAGAGGAGGATCCAAACTTAACCCTGTCTCCATTCAAGCTCTCGACCATCCATAAAAGGAAGAAGTTCTTGCGAGGAAATTTCAAATTACCCTTGTAAACCAGCCGGAACGATAACAGGTGGCACCAAGGGCAGGAAATGAAAAGTGGAACCTGAAACTGTTGAGTGGGAAATTTCACGACAGCCCACTGAAGCCCCATTACACAATTTTTGCACAAAGTATGGCCGCACCATAAGACATATGGTATATTCTCAACAATATTGAAAGATTCACAGCATATGGGACACTCAAGCCCTTCTTCTCCGCTGCCGTTAGAACAGGCATCATCATCTGAGCACTCTGCACTAGGTTGACTCGGATGGATCAAGTTCTTCTTCAGTCCAATATTTGAAATGGCATTTGCAGCAAAACCCCACATCATAAATAAGTACAACTGTCGTATAATTAAAGAAGCTATCAAAACTGCCGAGTCTGAGCCATCTTCCAATAGAAACACTAGTAAGCCACGAACAAAGCTTTGAAGATTTCTTCTTCTTGTTTACTATGTCAACGGTTTTTACTCCTCAATCGAACCTAAACAGACTAATTTAGGTAGCAACCAAGTCAGTCATCTTAAATATTCAGATGCAATGACAATCACGAAACATTACAATAGAACAATTTCAGGTCGGAAAAAAAAAAAAGAAAAAGAAGAAGAAGAAGAAGAAGAAGAAGAAGAAGAAGAAGAAGAAGAAGAAGAAGAAGAGGAAGACAAAATAATATTTTGAAATTAGAGGTGACAACTTGCATATTATAGTAACCGAATTTTTATCATTTCCCAGACTAGATATTACGAAAATACAATTTTGAACATAGATAATCCTATCTTTCTGCGTAGCGACCAATAAGAATCAATTCAATCTAGCAGATTATTTATAGACAATTTTTTTTCTCTACATGCCCCCCCCCCCCCCCAAAAAAAAAAAAAAACTTAAATGCGTATCCAATCAAAAAGGCAATTTCAAGAAAAGTCAGAATTCATAAAACATTGAAATTATGCATAAATCAAGACAAAGCTATGTGAGCACTAAACAGAATTTAGACTGTGACAGAGACAATACGCAAAAATACTAATAAATAGCAGAATAGGCAGGAAAATAATCAGGTAAATTTGAGCATATACCAGATGTAGATTCAAAACTATCAGAAAAATTGACAAAAAAAAAAAATAAAAAAAAAAAAAAAAAAAAAAAAAAAAAAATCAGGAAATTGAAAGAAAAAGATGAAAATTAGAGAATAGAGATCTTACGCCTAATATAATTTGGCGCGAAATTTCGTCGGAAGAATTGGAAAGAGAAGGAGCAGGCTGTAGAGCGGAGATCGAAGACGAAGATCAGCTCGCTCTTGTCCTCTCCCTAACTCTCTCTCTCTGATGAACGTATGGATTTTTTTTTTTTTTTTTTCATTCTAGAGAGAAGACGACAAATTTGATTATAACACTCATGCATTGTACGGGGAAGCGTGGATTCCGGTGCGGCGTCGTTTAAATTGACCTTTTTTGTTATTGTTTTTTCTTTTTTCTTTCTCTTTCTCTTTTTTTTTCTTTTTTCTTTTTTCTTTTTTCTTTTTCTTTTTTCTGTTTTCTTTTTCTTTTTCTTTTTTCTTTTTTCTTTTCTTTCCTTTGGGTCATCTATGGACTATGATAAAGGACGGAGCCCCGCAACTTTTCACTGTTTATATTGAGGTACCACGTTATTTTATTTATATAATACATCATTTTAATAAAAACGTAATATTTGGATACTTTTTCTAGTCAAATATTTTTACTCATCTTTCTCTTTAGTCTTCCTAATACATTATACTTTAATTGTTTAATCAAAATTATCAAAATTAATTATATTTAATTCTCTTATTTTAATCAATTAACTTTAAATAATTACTTTTATTTTTTAACTACTATAATTTCATTTGCTTTTCAATACAAGTCGTGCTATTCCTAATTCCATTGGGTGGAGGGAATAATACGCTCTGTACAACGGCTTTTTTGTTTTTCAATATCTACTGAACGTTTTCTTATGAAGCTTTTTTTTTTTTTTTTTTTTGCGTTTTTTTGAAGAAATTGGTTATGATTCTTGTATGCATTGTGTAGATCTTATATACGTTGGTGTTTATACATTTTTTTTATGTATGTAGCGTTTGAAAAAAAAAATAGCAACTTAGAAGCATTTTAAAAAGCAATTTAAATAATAATATTTTTAAAACAAAAATAATTATTAAAGTTTTTTTTATTACAATAATTATTTAAAGTTAAATTAAAATTACGATGGATTTGACTTAACCATTAATGCATATCATGTTAGGAATGAGAAACATAAGTAAAAAAGTTAACGTAAAAAAAGTGTTTTAATATTACATTTTCATTAGACGGGTGCCCACACTATAAGAAAAAATGTATTTATTGACGTTAATAATTCTTGACACTTTAATATTGTCAGAAATATTCATATTTATTGACGTTATTTTAAAAAGTTAGCGTCGGTAAATTTATTTGGTCTCTCACGGGGTGGATTTTGTTGACTAGAAACTTCCTAATTCTATTTACCAAGCGTCGAGAAGTTTTTAGGAATTAAGTTCCCAATGCTAGTTAGCGTCGAGTAGTTTTTTGAGAGTTGGGAGTTAATTTTCTGATGCTATGTAGGCCCCGGGAAGTTTTTGGGAATTAAATTTGCGACCCCATATAGCGTCGGGAAGTTATTTGAGATTTGGGATATAATTTTCTGACGCTACGTAGGCGTCGAAAAGTTTTTAGGAATTAAATTTACAACACCACATATCGTTGGTAAGTTTTTTGAGATTTGAGATATAATTTTCCGACGCTATATAGGCATCCAAAAGTTTTTAAAAATTAAATTTGCAACACCATGTAGCGTCAGGAAGTTTTGAAATTCGAGATATGTAATTTTCAAAAATTTCCCAATGCACAAAGGCATCAGAAAATTATTTTTTTAAAGAAAAATAATTTTGGAAAAAAAAATAATAAACTTCCCCATGTTATGGTGTAACATCTAGTTAAATTGATTGAGATTAATTAATCAAATCCGGTGGTTAGTATTAATTAATCAGATATTAGTGAAAGATTCTCAGTTATAATTATCACGTAAAGGACCTTTCTCCTTTAAAAATGATTGTTTTGTAATTGACACTGATGTCTCTCGAACAGTTTTAAGTGTTGGTAACTAATTTTTCAGAATTTGAATAATGGGTCATTCCATACTCTATTCAAATTGGACTTTAAAATCTAATTATTAAATTTGCACAGAAAACCTAAGCCCATTCGCCTTTTTTTCCTTTTTCCTTCTTTTTTCTCATTTTTCTCTCATCATCTCTCTCTTCCACACTCACTCTCTCTTTC